TTTTAAATACTTAATAAAAGTTCTTTATACTCACGTATTAAATTAATGTGAACAAATTAAATAGTAAATGAAAAAAATTGAGCGATTGATATTATTACCGGTGAATGCATGAACTGATGAAGAAATTATTATGAAAAAGGTGATAACGAATTAATGGATTAAGTAGGATGGAACTAAATACATAGAATTATTCAAAGGTCGAATGTGAGTCTGGTCTGGATTTTAATAATAATTCTGTAATTGCGAAAAGCACAAAGATGATAAAATCCTATTGTGGGATAAGGAATAATAAATTAACGATGCAGATATTGAGATCTATGTATCTACGTATAGTGAAGTATAATGAACATTGATGAAATTGAATGAGACAGATTTCTTGAGGAAATCTCGACAAAACAAAGGATAATCCTGAAATAGAAGATCTCGACCAAAAAGTAATATAGATACTAATATAAAATGTATTGTTCTAAATGTTGGTATCGTTAGAGATTACTGTTATGCTTTACAAAAATTGAGTTTGGAAATTTTAAACTTTATTTACCAAGTGGTACGTAATACGATTTAAAGATATATCACTTAATTAGTGGCATATTTGACTAAGAATTAAATTGTACAAGATTAATAAATGAAATTAATAAATAAAATCAATAAATAAAAAAAACAAACATAATATTAAAACTTAAATTTTTTTCTTCACAATTTGTATTATTCAAATTGCGTCATAATAAAATTCATTTCTAACATATTGATTATATAAAGAATCATGGTAAGTTGAAGTACATGTAGAATGACAATGGTGTACAAAATGAACCTTTGATAAATTGTCTATAAAGCTTATTGGGTAAACTTGGTGCTACTTTGCGTTTTCAGCTGTTTGTTTTTCATAAACTGAATATTGAAGAATTGGATCAAGTATAGAGCATTCCCACAACCAGTTAACCCAAATAAATGAATATACTAAACCATCATTATATTTATGCGTAAATATTCCTTTTAGTGTAGCGTAAGACAGACTAGTTTCTTCCTGAATTTGCACAATATCGCCAGAATGCAAATTTATATACTTATTGAATGTGCCATTATCATTTAATAAAATGTAACTTATTTGCTTGTAAAACTCTACACGCCTATGTATTAAAGCTGCTTTTTTTTCTATATAAATATCATATGCGCTTATGATATCATTAGTAAACTGAAAATTGTTATCGAATTTTACCAGTAGCAAAAGTTGATGAATTTTGCTTTTTGATAGACGTTTCCTTGTCTTGATGTTTCTTATTTTATTATCATGTGATATGATATTTGTACCTATTGCAATAAAGAATTAAAATTTTAGTCACTGAAATCGAAGAACCATATTAAGAGCATAAAAATTTAATCCTTATATAAATAGAGATGTGTGAAGAAACTTCACCTATTGTATGTAAAACATTAGTGTCCCATGCTAATACGTATAAACATTAATTTCGCCAAGTTATTTCCTTTTTAAGAAATCATCTATTGTTAGCATTAGATAATTTAAATTGATTATTAATTATATACATTAATGAAATATAATATTTACCTTATTTATACGTATTCACTTTTTTTAATTTTGGAGTTATCAAAAATTTATATACTTACTTATATCAGCCATATATTCTTGAATATCTTGAATATTCTGTGTCATATACCAATCTGATAATATTGGTTAAAGCAATGGGTCCATTGTAAAATTTCTAAAACTCTGTTTAATATGTTGAAAGCGGCTATCTTTGCCTCTATCGATCAAATAATGAATCGTTTGGAGTGTATTGTGCTGTCGAATGAGATCAAATTCTATATTCTTGCAGTTCATTTTCGAAACAGAACTTTTGAATATTTTATATACTGCTTCCTTTACTCCCACAGAGATATTTATGAGCATTCCAAAGTTGCAAGCATTCTGAACATGATGCCGGTTTATATGTAAATTTGGTAAATTATTGAAATTGTCTAGAAAAAGCTAAAGTACAATAACATAAATAATGTTAGTTATATTTCATATTGCACCAATAGAATTGAATTGAATTATCATCAGAAATCGCTATCTTAAAATAAACGTCTTTCTTATCATTGTTAAAAGCCCTGGATTTTTTTAAAGATTTAAAAGAATAATTGATCATTTTGTTATATCCTTAAGTAAATCCTAATTTAGGTTAGCTAAATATCTTCGACAGTCTCATATGCTAATAAAAAAAATTAAAACCCACATACATATGTACAGTACATACAGTATTACAAGAAATGGTACTCACTTTTAGTAATAAAATATGCTCAATTTTTAAAGCTTCATCTAGTTCTATATATGTTTGGTTAGTAAATGTAAAGCTGAAACTTAAGCATGATGCTTTCATGACGGCTACCCAACAAGAAATGATTTCATTCGCAATTTGTATAGACGATAGCATTTTTAGTCGCATGTTTGTTGATGTTGTAAGTTGCCTTTGCAACATAGCCAAATCAGTATCTTTGATACATAATGATGTTAAGAACCTTCACAATAAGAATAGCATTATCATCGCTAATTGCAAACAGTCAGAAAACATAAAACTGTTAAGGTGTTGGATTGGGTTAGGGAGACAGTACCAGCCAGATGATAACTCAAAGGTTTTTCAATAATTTAAAAAAGTGCATTTTTCTCTTTGATTTAATATTGAAAAAGTATAGTCTATTAGGCTTTGTATTTTCCTAGCTATAGTATGGTATGCATCTTGAGGTATTTGTAAATGCTGATTTTATGTTAGATGATTCAAAATGCTTGGGTATTCAGTTAAACCATGCTCTGTACAGTAGTTATTGACTGTTTTTCGTGGTGCTTGTCGTTGTATTAATTCTTTTAATTTATTGATTTTTTTATTTATTATATGATGATACCTGGTATTTAACTTAATATCAAAACTAATATCACTTAATTGTTCTTTAGGTACCAAACAACTCCTACATCCTTGATTACCACTATAGTATTTTGTATCTACAAGATCGTTGCCCTAAGGGAGATCTGCAGTTATAACGCCCAAAGTGGCTATTATCCATATATATTCACCCGCAATATTTATCAAAATATCTTTCTCTAAAATTTTAATTTCATCTATAATTGGCTTCATTACATCATCAAATTCTCCTCCAAATGGAACAAAACCCAAAACAAAATGATTCTTTAATTGCTTTCTTAGCCGTAAAGGCATATTGCAGAATTGAAGATAAATTCTACCCAAGGAATGGTACACATTATGGAATGTACCGAAATCGTCATGATAAATATCCAACATTATTTTTAATGTAGGCACATTATGAGGAGTTGACATTGGAATTTGAGTATATTCAATTGGATGAAGATGTCTCAGTTTACAATCTCTTATCTTCCACTGGCCTTTATGACAATATAAGATTTCTCTCACATTAAATTGATAATTAGGTAACTCTAGAGTATCCTGAAGCCAAACTGTAACAGGTTCAATAACATTAAATAGATCAGTCAGGTATGTCATTTTGCTTAACCATAGTTCTCCATTCTTTGATCGCTCTTTTCGTATTGAGCTTGCAAATATCCTTGGCAATTCGGAGCCAAAATAAAGATGTTGAATCTTTAATTTGGTACCATTCGAAGTTGAAACTATTGCTAAAATTCTTCCTATTTTTGTTTCTTTATCCTTATATTTAATGAATGATCCTATTAAATATAATTCTAAATATTATTTTAATTATAGTTAATAAAAATTGTTTAAATTATGCTTGCTGGCAAACCGGGTAAATTCAGAACCCCCAAAGCAATTGCTACTTAAAAAATATATTGTCCATATTCAGAGATAAATATGCGAACAATATGTTTAATAAAGATAATTAATATGTTTCAGGATAAAAATTGATATAGTTGGGCAACAAAATTAATTCTATAAAAGTTTAGGATTTGCTAGCAAATATACATACACCATTATTTAATGATTATATTATAAGCTTTACTATTATCTATTCATATCGAGGATAGACTGAAAAGGGGTGATTCCTGCCAGATATTTCTGTGCCAAAACTCAGATTTTGTTTTGGCTTCGATTCCAGGCCCGAAGTACATTTGTGATCGTAAACTTCTATTACCCAAGACTTTTCTAATATGCTCGCTTATGGATATAGTATAGGAATTCTTGAATAATGTAGACATTGAGGGTGTCTTCATGTTCTGGATCAGCACTTGGTGATACTTTATTGTTTGGAGAGGGAGTCAGCTACGTAACGACCTTAACCGTCTAATATTCTTAATTATATGTTCAGGCGAAAGTTAGGATATTCAATAATATACATAAGATCTTTATACGCATTATTTGCTAAGTATAAATTAATTAAATATATATACATATTTAGTAATTAAAATATATATTGTGATAGATATAATAATAAGTAATATTATTACATACTGATCATATATTTAGTAACCCAAATAAATAGCGACATCTCGGTAAAGTTTTTGAAGTATGGACCGTACTCTCCGGATAGCGGCTGAAAATCAATTCCACTATCTACTATAGTTTGTGTTACTTCTGATTGTAGTCCAACTTCTTCCATAATTATTAACTGGTTACTGCTACTCAAAGTATTCGACATGCTACTTAAAGTATCCAATTCGCTACTCAACATATCCAAATCTATAGAGAAACTGCATTCAAAGTCGTTATTAACATGCTGACTTTCTTCTGAAAAACTTTCTTGTAAGCTTTCATTACTATAATCCTTATAATTTTCTAAGTGTAATGAAGCTTGGTTTCTAATATCTTGTGAAGTATAATATGTACATAGTTGTACAAATTCATTTTGTATTTGGTTAGAACTCTTATGCACAATACATCTTTGTAATCCAACTTTTTGCGTCACTTTTTTGGTTTGCACTCTTCTCATTTTTTATATTATAAGCCTCTGAGATTAAAATGTCTTACAGTAGCTTGTAGATAACAAAGGTAGATAGTTGGAAATGAAAATATTTAATTTATAATATTTTGAGCGATCGTTTAAGGTGAAGGTTGAAAGAAAAAGATGAAAAAAAGTCTAAAAGACGAAAAGTATTTAATTCATAATATTTTGAGTGATCATTTAAGGTGAAGGTTGAAAGAAAAAGACGAAAAAAGTCTGAGACGAAAAATATTTAATTGCAGATCCGTATATCAAGAATAGATTTTCATAGGCGTATGATCTATAATTAAAAAATAAAATAGGTGTACAACGTTACTATAAAGACTAGTCATTAATTATTATAAATTTATAAAATTTTCACTTAATATAAGAGACCAAATCT